TCTACAGTGCAGAATACAAGAAGCCATCTGACACACATATCCTCCATTTCCTATTAATACAAAAGCACTATTCAATACAGGAATAGATTTTAAATATATTTAAATGTGTTAAGATTGGTAAAGCTAGCTAAGAAAACAGAAATTAAGAACATTGGGAACAAATGCCATCTGAAAGAAAAAACTGAAACTAGAAACTGGAAAAGAATAGACAACTTGGGACATCCATCCTTTAAATACTTACCTGTGAGTTGTTTAACCAAACTCAGTGGAACCAACGTCTGGGTAGAGATGCAAGGTTGCACTCTAAGTAAATGAAGATCATTGTGGAAAGCAAAACTCTAAAGGGCAACCATATGCTGTTCATACCATACTGAATGAAACATCAATAGCTCATATAGTTTAAAATGCCCACGCTTAAGTTTCTTAGGTTGAATTACTGAATGTCCTTTTTAATACACCCTCCCCACACCCTTACTGCAGTAGCAATCTTAAGGAAATTAGACCATCAAAACAGAAATTCAAACATTCAGAGAGGTGGTGGGAGGGACAATTCAAGGAACCACTATTTATCCAATGGTTAAACTCCAATTGTATGTCATAATGTAAGAAAATGTGTAATTTTTTTACTTGCAATATGTAATATCCACCTATGAAAATTTAATATTCTGTAGGATAACTGCAACATTACCTTTTTCTGTTGTTCACAAACGATGCAAAACAGAATTATTCTTGTTTACACTGGATTTTACATCATTTTATCTTTGGTTTAAAATACCTCCATAGGAACCTGTTATTAGAGATTTCTATTTGTATTTAAAATCTAATATTAGCTGCTGATATTTAATCTACAGTGAGAGAGTATTAAGAAGCCAGGCATAGAAATGTGGGATATATGAAAGTGCCAAAATCATTAATGACAGTTAAAGAGTGCAAAATGTACATTCTTTATTCTGCCATACAGAACAAAATTTGATTTTTCAAAATATAAAAGTAATGGCAGCTCTGTATGCTGTCCATTGGCTTCTAAGCATAAAGCACATGTACTTTCCAGTTTCACTGCACATTGTTTACAGGTGTGATGTTTTTTACATGTGTTTGGGCAACATCATTTTTCCTAGTACATGTTATATCGTGGACACAAAATTCAAACAATACAACTCAAAAGGATATTTATATTTTTAAAAAATCTTTGTCTAATAATTAGTTTCTCAAATGCAAATCTTTCTCCTGGGAGTAACTCTGATTTAATTACTGCCATCATATCTAGTATCAAAAACTGATTATTGCAAATAATCTGTGCTTCTCAAATACCCACTTCTGAGGCAGGATGTTCACACCTGCAGTTAGTTAGCCGGCAGCATAAAAAGAACCAGTTCCTTTTTAACCAGTTTGATTCAACATTGAGCATAAATTTATGCCAACATACAAATGATCTGCATATATTTCACTGTCTTGACTCTTGACTGTCTGTCCACTCTCAATTAGTATTTCCATCAGGAATTATTCCAGTGGTCCCCTAGTTAATAGGCTGAAAAATGAGATTTACAAATGTAAGCCTAAAGAACTATTACTAACGCTAAATGTTTAAAGTTCTAGAAATATTAGTTCCAGCAAAAATAATGCTTTTGTGGCTTCCTAAAGGAACAATAGTGGCAATTTATTACTTGATCAAATAAAATTACAGCTTTTATTTACATTCCATTTTACTAGAAAAATCAGTCCAAATTCAATTTTAATTTTAGTGTTAATTTAGTTTAATGCTCATAATAATAACGCTCAATTTTTAATTGGGGAATGCACTTTCCTATCGCATGAAACCAATGCCTCACCCACACTCTTCCAGTAAGATCCTACGGTTTAGAAGACTGTGGGAAATGAAATGGTAAAGGGGGAACTGGAGAAAAACTACACTTCATCCTCCTCCTGTGACAACTCTCTGCTGCGTTCTTGTTCTGGATGGAGGTGCTAAAGAAAATATCTAATATTTAGCTAATAATAATATTTAGCATACTTAAAAATAATTTATAATTTTTGGCATTGGTTTGCTCTCCAACCTTGTTTCAATTGAAACAAACTTGGAGATCAAACCACTGCCCAAATCTAAAACCTGAGCTATAAATATTTTCTATTATTTCAATAATTTATAGTACCTGACTTCTTTTAAGCTTCATAATATGGCTGCTTTTCAAAACCAAAAGTAATGATATGAATAACTTATCCTTTATATTATTTTCACTCAAGCTACAGCAAAGCTTTTATGGCTTTTGTTTTTAATCTATTAAAGAAGTTACCAAAGGAAAAATTGGTTTTCCTCCAAAAGAAGTAACTTTTTGTTAGAAAGTGAGCTAATTATGTTAAAAATGTGGAAATGTCACGTTACACTTGTTGACTCATGCAATCCTACAAACTCAGATAATTTTTCCCCTCTATTATCTTCCTAATTAACATAATTAAACAGCCATTTCATCAACCATATGGGATACTGACTGATGTTATAAAAAGATACATTTTTTTCCCAAGCCTTGCAAGATTAAAAGGCCCTTAGGTAATTTTAGGCATATATAATTGTCAACTGCTTCTCATTCCACATTCATAAGAAATACTATTTGACCACTGCAGCATTTGGATTTTTTCCCTCTGTATCAAAAACATAAGAAGTGCTATAAAGAATATCTAATTTTTAGTATTAGTTACTGTTTAGTCTATGTGGCATATAATTTCAGATAGGTATGCATCCATGCATACTGTTAATGGATTTATTCCTATTATATTCTATACTACGATATTATCAAGGCCTGTTCCCATTGTATATTTTTAGGAAAATAGGTTTGAATATATTGGGACATTTAGCTTTTACTTCATTTTTATTTCAATTTCTTTTTTATTATATAATTTATAGTTGGTAAATCCTATTCCAGACTCTTCTAATAGATGATGAGTTACGATTATGTGGCATACTATTACAAAATACAGTTTTCAAAATATATTACATATTTCAGCAAGAATGACTGATTCCTATGCCACAAAATCTTATTTTTCTTAAAAATGAAAAGGCTTTTTTAAAAAAACAATATTTATGTTGTGCTTATAACAGCTCAATTTTATGTATGTCTATTCAGAATTAAGCCTTATTAATCTGACATAAATGGATATAAGTTTCAGCCTAAATTCTCTGAAGTGGATCATAGAAAGGAATGTTTTAAAACAAATGCTGTTCCATATAAATGGGTCTCCCAGAAAATATATTAAATTAAATTTAAAAACAGATGAATAGGCCATATTAGCCATATTTTACTAACCATTATCTAATCATGAAAAACTTGAATAATTTATTATAAAATTTCTGAAAGCAATTATCTCCTGGATAAGCATACAAAATAATGTTAGACTTCTTTTTAAAATGGATATTTTATATACCTTTTGCAGTAATTAGAAAATTATCTACTTTGATTTTAAATAATTTTGACCTGTACTATGATGTCATTTAAATACTACACACCATAGATATAAAAAAGAAATGTTCAGCCTGAGAAGCAGTGAAAACCACAATGTTAAAACTGTTTAAGAAACAGTCTGCTTTAAGACAACTTAATTACCTGAGACTTGTCATTTGAAGACTGCTTCTAAAATCACCTTTAGGATCACACTGAAATTGGAAGAAATATGGATCCTGCTAGTTTAATGGTCTGTTTCTTGCTTTAGATACATTTAGAAATGTGCACAATAATGTTGTTCAGATACTGAAATGCTGAACTGTCATTTTAATCAGAACGTTCAAATCAAATTAAATGTTTCTATCATAAAGGCTCAACAAAGAATCAAACTGGTTTCTTTGGGCACATATTGTATACCAATATATTGGTATCTTTGCCCTTTTGCTGTGAGGTGACAGTGATTAATTTAGAAAAGGAGATTGTGGAATTAGTAATGCAGATGCTGAAAGGCGAGTGGCAAGAGTCTAAAAGAAGATTATCTGCAAATATGCTACTTGTTCCCCACTCTACTGGCACTTACCCATAAGGTAAAAGTCCAATATGACCAAAGCCAAATCAATGGTAGTGTGCAGAATGTCAGCCAAACAAACAAACATAAAACAAATCATGTGTTATCTGTGGTCACTTCTTCAGGGTTAGTCCAAGAACTCATAACTTACATTCTTCTGTCCTTCCTTGTTTATTCAATTAAACATGTAATGGTTAATAAACTGACGTAGTCCAAAGTTAGTAGGTTGTATTATAACATTTATTAAAATAATGCTATGGGTTAATAGAAACAGCAAAGAACCAAAGAATTAAAATGCAAGCTATGTAAAAACCCAACTAAAACCCAAATATGTCTAATGTATTCAATCCAGTAGCTAACTAAAAGCCTAAGAAAGACAACACCCCCAATATAATAATAAAGTACTGCAAAACAATTAGCAATTTTCAGTTATCAAAATTGTGGGTTTTGCATTTTTGTATCCTTTTCTCAATCAGGAAAAATTATTCTGAATGTTATATAACATACATATAAAACAAGATAGAAAAATACATTATAAACTTGTAACAATGGCTGTAAATACATTATCTTACATGTTTCTCATAGGCAATAGGTTGGTTATGTTACATACATAGCATCAAACTAAGATAAAAGAATAGACAAATACATGTCATCTGTACGGTTACATACAAGCGACACTCCCATATACCCACTCTAAAAATTACATAATACTGTCAGAAAAAAGACTTAAACTACAAATTTTAAGAAAGAAAAATTCAATAAAGGATGATAATACTGAGAACCAAGGCATTCAGAGATTCAAAAGTCATGCTTTAAGTTGATCCAAAATGTTATCAACCAAGTTTTCAAACTTTTTTTCAGAACAAATATTACTTTTAGAAGTCACACTTCCCTCAAGAAGAGACTTCTGATCAGCATCTAAAAATGTCCAGGTTTATCACAGTTGAGATGAAACTGGATCAAATACTGGTAACGTTATAGCAATCCTCTCTCCAAAATGTTTGAGTGTCGCAAGTTTATTCAACCAAACAAAAATCAAAATGGCACAGCATATACCAAAAGTAAAACCAAATAAAAAATAACAAAAATGTTATGTAACAGGAAGACAAAGCCAGTGGCAGAAAAGGAAAGCTAGCTGCATACAAAAAGATGAATGTTTATTGCATAGTAAATAAACTGATACTTGTTTCCAGGTGAGACACAATGTTGATAAAGTCACCATGCAGATGCTTAAAAATAAGCCCTCTTATCTAACTTACTATTGACCTTTGATTTGGAAACTGTGAAGGTTTTAGGAGAATAAGCTGACACAATGTAAAGGGCAAGGTATCACCTGGTCTTTGCCAATTTGCTTCAAAGCCGTGACCATGTTGATACTGGCTCATTAATTTTACACTCCACTTTTGTGCGTAAAGTGTTTTTGAACACTAGTGTTAATTAATACTAATTCAGCCACACAAACGTCTTTTAAAAATTCAAACTGAACCACAGCTGGATTTTCCAAGATAGTATATCCTCCTTTAATGGAAAGTGCAACCAGTAGTTAACATTCCTCAAGTAGAAGTTTCATGAAAAATTATGTAAATCCATACGCACTTGGCATTGTAGCTAAAACATCCAGAACTTATAACATGCTCAATCTTAATGTTTGGTTTAGTCATGGACGAAAGTTTAAGTTCTCTTGTAGTTTCCTGCATCTAGTTCAATCAGAAAAAAAGATAACTAATCTCTAAATAATAATAATAAAAAACCCAAACACTTGCTACTCTATTACTATTGTAATCTTATAATTTGATTTTGAATGAAACTGTATCGTAGAACCCTTTGGTTTAAGGCTGAGCAAGTATTATAAAAATATATTGTCTACAATTGAAGAGGGGAACATGTTACAAAAATATTGCAGTTGGCTGTTGGTGGAACAATTCTATTTCACAGTTTGGGATCTGGCAAGGTTGCATCATGCTGTGGCAAAAACCAGGTAATTTTAATAGTCAACTCATTTGTCTTTCCTCACAGCTTCTTTTCATGTACTGGGCGGACTGAGTGGCATGCATTAACTTGCTGTCTTAGGGAGGAGCTGATTATACAACACACCTGACTAAATGACCATGAAGAAAATAAGGCACTTTCTTTTCTTTATACTTATTCCAATACTTAAAAAATAAAAAAAGAAAGACAAAAAGGCTCTTTTGGTCTTTTGTTTCTCGACAACCACCAGAAAAAACCATTTAATGAAATAAAGGGTTTCTTTGTTCTTTTTTCTTTTTTATAACACTTGAAAGTATAAAATGCTACATTTCCAAAAATATATATTTCTTCTGCACCAGCACCCTTGTATAGTAAAAGTATCTACTTTTTTTTCAATTTGTTTCAATGCACTACACTTTATCTACAATTTCATTACATGTATACAGCAAATAGGCAAGCATGGCTTTTATATCCTTATGAATTTACTCTATACAGGGAGGCTTAAAAAAATATTTGAACAGTTTGCCCAGTTATGTGACACATAATGCATGTACCTTGTACTCATGTAATTTTTAAAAGGAAGTTAATGTATAGTAAAAGAACTGTATCTCAGCATTAGCTTCGATAGGGTTGCTGTCTTTTAATGCATTGATGTGGTTCAAAAATTCAGTAACCTATTTTTCATGGCACTTTTTTTTTCTTAAAAACACCCAATTTGGCAGGTAATATAAAAAAGGCTGCATCTTCTGCCCTTTGAGGGCATTGGTAGTGATTACACTGCATGTCAAATTTTGAATACTTTTAGGAATCCCTTCACCAATGAGATCACTGACCAAAGGTTCATGCATGATGCATCATCACACAGTACATTCAAAGAGAGCTTTGACTTCTTTATGAGAAGAGAAAGATTCCTAGAAGTGTCACAGTAACTGCCTCTGACATCAGGGAGTTAAGGGACATCTGCTTCCATCTCTTAAATGAGGCCCTTCTTACCATTTTTAGGGTGGGACACTAAAAGATGATCAGTGCGGAAGGATGAATTGGACCTTATTGCTTTACTACTATTCAGTGCAGGTTCTAGAACCACTTTCACCCAAACAGGGAAAAAAAGCTGAGTTGGAGGACAACAAATTCTTTGTCTTTTTGTTAGATGGTAAGACGAACGGACAAATGCCTCAGCTCGCTGCACTGAAGACAGACAAGCAAAGGCGATTACCAGTTAACTGATCAGCAGGCAGGCATGGTCAGGTCATCATTGGGTGAAGAGTTCAGAGGTCAGAAGGTCATAGGTTAGTTGCCGGTGGCGGCTGGGTGGTTAGAAACAAAAAAAACAAAAAACAAAAAAGAAACAAAAAAAGAAAGAAAGATAGAGAAGAGATTAGTTTCAGCTAGTGACGGCTTAATGACAACATGAAAACTAATCACAACTAATAAAAACAAGCATGTTTAATTCTGACATACTGCTTGACACCATCTACAAATGCAATAAAAATCATGACAGTCTAGTATCATGATTTGAACATATGAAGGAGAAGCCCAGTTCCCACAAAACTGGTTAACAAGGAAAAATAGAAATAAAAATATAACTAATGGTTAGTAGCAGTCAATGAAAGAAAAAACAAAACAAAACAAAACAAAATGATGAACAATTTCTGGAACTTGATAAAAGAATTGAGAACAGTCAGTGCACCATATCAGTATCTGACTGCTATTAAGCATTAGTATTCTCCCATGTGCAAGCAATCAAAGCAACTAGTAATGATGAATGTGATTATTAATAACTGACTGTTAAGAGAAATGAATCTAAGAAATTTGACTTGACATTTGATTTCACAAACTAAGGGCCAAACAAGTTTTTTGTTCAATAAATTTTATTGCTTTTCAATGATTCTATTTACAATCAACACTGAACTTCTTGGCTTCATGATACAAAGCAATACTAAATTGAAGTCTAGAAGAGTAGGCATCGTTCATGGGAAACAGAAAAAGCCCAAATGTTCTAGCCAGCTTTTTCCTTCTTTAAAAAAAACAAACAAACAACTATCTTACACATAGAGGACACTAAGAAAATGCACTTGTATGTAAACACTGTAAAAGTCCTGCCATTTAAAATTCTATATTTAAAATGCTCTAGTTACATCAAAAATATAGGAAATCTAATTGATACTAATAAGGCATTTTAAAAACTACAGTTCTTTTTTTCAAAGCTAATACTTTGCAAATACAATAAAATTTGACATTTCATATACATTCCTGCTTTATATTTTTATATTTTAAAAGAAGCCACCTGTAAATACTATTTTCTTTTCCAAAACACACAAATATTACAATAAAACATAAAAAAGTTCTCAAGTGGAAAGTTATCATTCCCATTTGTCTTGAGCTGTTTCTTCTTTAATCACTCTCTTTCTCATTCTCCTTCAACAACTTGGTCCACTTTACAGTAGTACAAATTTTAAGACTCATTCAACAGCTTTATTATCTCTAATAAATTCTGAGGTTTGATAAGAATATTTGTACTGTTGCCATTGACTAAAGCAGAGGAGATGAAAGTGAGAAAGGTGTTCAGTGCAAAGTCAGAGTTGTGCTATTTTAAAAAATGAATTCAGTAGGTGCAATGTTCACAGATAGCACATTTTTAAAGGCCGTACATCTTGGGTTGGCTTTATATTATTTCTATGGCCTATCATTTAGGCTACAGTTCATGAACTCTAAAACCATTACTGTTGTAACTTAAATGATACCTTATTTTCCCTGATTTTTTTTAAAAAAATGCTGAGAAGTGGGGTTTTAAATTAAAAAATATTGTAAAAAAACCTTAAAATTAATAAATATTTAATGTGGCATTATCTTGCCACCATAAAAATGTGTATTAGATATCCAGAATCTTAAAGCGTTCTTGGTACTTACTACAATTTTGATTAATATGGTATTACAATTTGTAGATATAAATTATGTGAAAATTGGCTTTGAGAAAAACACTGTTATAGTTTCAGCACTGCCATTTCTTGTGTATTTAAATCAATGCAAGCTATCATAAGATACGAGTACACCTGTGATACATCCTCTGCCAAGTCCCTGACCATCTACAGTACACACAGGTTTGTCAAGTGTGCAACACCATTACAGTTTATTACAATTAAATCAGTCAGTCTCTCTGTTACATAAATTCAGTTTTATATTATTTATATGGTGGGGCTTTAGGAGAAATTATGTGATCTCTTTAATTCTCAGAGAAATGAATTCTGAAAAGTTGGGAGCTCTTGCTTTAACACAATGCTTACATATAAGCCAGCATTTAGAATAAATTCTTTAATCAGACGATACAATAATGGGATAGTTCTTTTAAAATCTCCGTTAACCAATGATCAAATTAATGCATATGCTAGCTTCAGTTAACTTCTCATATTTTTTCTTATGAACAGAAAGTGGTTCGGTTTACTGACATTGAATTTTAACACATATTGGACTGGACAATTATTCAGACATATGTAAAGCTATACAGTTAGGTTACAGTTAGGTTAAAACAATGGAATTTTCAACTTGGTTGCACACAACAAATTAAACCTGAATGGGGAACCAAGTGATATAAATAAAAAAAATCTATTAATGACAAAAACCAGTATAGTCTTCTACTCTTTTACACTACTGTCCACAATTCAAAACAAATAAACAAAGCCACCTCAGAGTTTGATGGAATCTGGAATTATTCATCATGTTCACTTATGTCACGTTTATCTGAATCATATACCACCATTAGTAAAACCAATTATTAGGGAGAAAAAGGGTCACCATAGTATATATAATGGTAATTATAACTAAGATGTACTTTGGAACAACCTACTACTAAAGTGCACGCTACATGCTCTCAAATCTTAATAAAATATAAATATATATCTTAATACAATGTCTGCAAATTAGTTTTAACAAATCTCTCCTAAAACCTACACAACATTGTTTCTAATAACTGCCAACTCTAGATACAATTAAAAATTCAGTCACAAACTGAACTAGCGCCCAAACTTCAAAG